AGTGAAGACATGAGACTCATTTTTAGTCATAAGATTTTATACATCATGTATGTAGTCAAGATTTACTCTTTTATTTTTATTATTTTAATTGTTTATATATTATTTTGACCCGTTGACTTCGGCGTTGACTGATGACTTTCAGTGTTGAACGTTGACTTCATGCGAAATTTGTTGACTTTTGGTGTTGATTGTTCTTCCAGCGTTGATAGTTGATTTTCGACGTTGATTCCAACGTCGACCGTTGACAACTAACCTTCCAAAACGTGTGTGTCAGGTAATGTGACGCCAAGACTGGCAAGGTAGTCAGCAGGTATGTTCTCCTCACGGAATATGTGTGTGATCCTGTGATGGACAAATCGAAGTAAAACACTAGAGACGAAACTCTCGCCCGAAACATCTTGCTGGGCGCGGTTAAGACCGCATGCCTACACAGGGAGGGGAAGAAGAGAGGCTCTTGCCGGCGGAGCACTCAGGTGCTCGTCGATTGAGTGTGGATGGAGACTATCTATATGCTCAGCCGAGCTCCCAATCTCAGCAAATGGTAGGTAAGCTGACTCATCCACTTTCGTGGGAGCGGTGACAACAATAGCCCTAAAGTCCAAAGAGCGATCATGGCTAGATGCATGCACAGACAAATGAGTAACGTTGCGCGCTTTGTCATCAGATCAGTGGATGGACTTGCCACTAGTAGAAGGCTCAGTCTCATCCTCCTCCTCTCAGAAGAGGACCACAAAGTACGAGTGGTTAGCCTTAAAGGACGACTGTAAGGTATCTCTAGGAAAAAAGTCCATGGCCTTGGGCTTAGGCCCAACTATAGCCAACTACTTAGGCTGGTTAGGATGAACATCTTTCTCAGTTTGAGCAATGACGTCAATCACAACCTTGCCCTTATCATTGACCCCCTTTGGGGTCCCGGGCACATGGAGAGGGCTTTTGCCATTTCCCTTCGGGTCTCTCCGGCCGTCGGAGGGCCCCGGCTGAGTCGCACGATGGCGCTGTGGCAGAGTGGGTTGAGGGTTATTGCCGCTAATGTATCCATCAGCCGTTATATGTCCCACATGACTGCATGAGGTACAGAACGCAGGGATCTTCTCATAGAACACCCGCTGAGCAAAAGTCTCCGAGCCCTGCTCGATCTTAGTTTTAATGGACGAGCTCGACTCTAAGGTTGATTTCTACACAAAACCGCGCCACGCTAGCCCTCGACTGAAGGGCTGTCGTGGCATCAATGCGAATCGGTTGGCCAATACACTTAGCGAGCGTAGTGATGGAATCACGGTCGTAAAGATGGGGTGGTGGGCCGGGAAGGTGGCACCACACGGGGACAACGGGCGTCTCCGTCTTCGGGTTGAACCCGGAAGTATACTTGAATACCCTAGTTGGACATCCACACACCTGAATTGAGGTCTAAGCCATATCTCGTTATAGGTCTCGGGGAGATGGAAAAAGACTAGTAGATGGTTGAAGTTATACCATTTATACGACACTCTACCCTTAAAACCCAATTTGTCTAATCCAGCAGAAAGATATTGGGAGGCAGGGATGGCATAGGTTAACTTAAAAACCAGTGTGTTAGCTAACTTACCTGCAAGCTTGTCACCTTCGGCTTGAGTGAATCTGGCCTTAAACTTATTTTCCTCCGAGCAAAAAATGGTCCGGCAAGCATGCTCATATCCTCCGTCAAAGGTGAAATCCTTGCGGGACCATCATCCGCTCGGAGGGTAACAAGGTGAAGCTTCAATTCTCTCAAGCCGAAGTTGACGCTCTTGCCGGTAAGTTAGCTAACACTCTGGTTTTTAAGTTTACTTATGTTATCTTTGCCCCACGAGATATTTCTGCTGGATTAGGCAAATTGGGTTTTAAGGGTAGAGATTTGTATAAGTG